CGGGAGCCCCTGTGAATGCTGGAGTCTGCTCCGGATTCACTACCCCCTCCCCACTCGGTGTAACCACGGGGGCAGATCCTGATTCACCCCGCACTAGGGAGCCCCAACCCCATCAGTCCCCCATGGGACCCAGTGGGAAGCAGAGAAGGAGCAGGACGCAAGTGCCCGAAGCAGGCCTTTATTGAGAGCGTGACAGTGGGGACTGCGGGGGGCACGGGGCTGGGGAGGGGTCCCCAGCGAGTGCAGAGGCCGGTGGGGGCAGCAGGCCCTGGGGGGCTGGGGAAGCGCCTACTGCTGCTCCTTGGCCTGCAGCTTGTCCAGCAGCCCCTGCATCTGGGTGCGGATGTCCGCAAGGAAGGGTTCGAGCCACTCTTGCAGCTGCGTGGCTGCGCGGTCCAGGGAGCCACGCATATCCTGGGCGCGCACCTCCAGCTGCTCACGCAAGCGCTGGCCCTGGTCACGCAATGCCTGCTGCAGGGCCGCCAGGCGCTGCTGCCCCTTCTCGCGCAGCGGCTCCAGGTCCTCGCGCACGGTCTCCAGGTGCCGGGTGGCTTCCGCACTGTAGGCCTCCAGCTTGCGGCGCAGCTCCTCTGTGTCCTTGGCCAGACGCTTGCGCAGCTTGCGCAAGTAGGTGCCCACGCGGCTGCGCACATCTTCCAGGTTCTGGCCCGCCACTTGGCGAGCCTCACCCAGGTACTGCTGCACCCGGGTCTTGGCTTCCTCCATGTCAACACGCAGCCGCTCGCCCAGCACCGTCACATCTGTATGCAGCCGCTCCCGCATCACCACCGCGTGCGGGCCCAGCCGTTCTTCCACGTCCTTTCTGTACGCCTGCAGCTCCGCCACCATGTCCTTGATCAGCATGCTGTGGGGAGGCAGCGGTCAGCAAGGCCAGGTCACAGCCCCCAGCACCCCAGCAGCCAGGCCTCAGCACTGAGCAGGGCTGGGGGCGGGGGGGTGTCACAGGCCTCAGGACCCCAGCAGGGAGCAGAGCTGGGGGGGGGTAAAAGCCCCCCAAGGACCCCTTTTCCACAGTGCTGCCTGGGAAGGCTGGTCTGTGCCCCCCTGCACTGAGCCCACAGGGGTAGCAGGGGGCTGCCCCCACCTACCCCCATTCCCAGGAGCCCCCTGAGACAGCAACAGGGTGGGTGGCACTCACTCCATTTCCTTGCCCATCTGGGAGCTGGTGATCTGCTCCGTGATGTCATCGGTAGCTAGGCTCAGCCGGTTCACGTACTCCCGAAACACTTCCACAGTCTCTTCCCACTTGGCCTTGGTCTCCTCAGCCTGGCAGGCTGTGGGGGATACATGCACACATGGAGATCGTGGGGTGAAGGCCCCAGTATGCCACGCCCAGACAGGATCCCAGCTCCCCGTGTCCTACTGGATGCAGACCCCTCCCAACCAGGATCAGGGCTCCCAGCTGCAATGGGCTGGACCTGGTGCTCCCCATTGTCCCACCCAGGCTGACCCACGGAGCAGGGGGCTGAGCCCTGGCCCCCCACACCAGGGCTGCACAGACACGGGAGAGGCTGGTGCATGGGGCTGCACAGAGCCAGGGCATCATGGGCCGGGGTCCAGGCTGCCCCTTGGCTGCAGGGGGTGGAGGGCGATGCTGCACCCTTATCTCCTCATCTCCCCGGGCGGGCGCGGCTCACACAGCCCAGCGCCAGGGTTTACAGCCTGGGGGGAGAAGCGGGCGGATCGCCCCATTCCTTGCTGATGAGGGCAAGGGCTGAAGGTCGTTTCCAGCAGGACCCAAGAGTCCCGGCTCCTTGTGCTGGGGCAGGACCCCAGGGCTCTCGGCTCCTTGTGCAGAGCTGCTGCTTCCTTCCCCGCGTGCAAGAAGGGAAGAGTCCCCATGCCCCTACAACTACGGGCCCCAGCCTCGCTCCGGCTTTGCCCCGCGGAGTCGCTCCGGACTGGGCGCGTGAAGCGTTCACACGGGCAGGGGGGGCCGGGCTGGGCTCTTACCCGCCAGCAGCAGCACGGCTCCGAGCAGCACGGTCCAGACCCTCATGGCTGCGGCTCCACCTGTGGGAAGAGGCCAGGGCGCGGGGTGAGGCAGAGCGGGGCCCACGCTGCACCCCTGTCCCGTCAGCGTCTCCTGAGTCGCTCCGGACTGGGCGCGTGAAGCGTTCACACGGGCAGGGGGGGCCGGGCTGGGCTCTTACCCGCCAGCAGCAGCACGGCTCCGAGCAGCACGGTCCAGACCCTCATGGCTGCGGCTCCACCTGTGGGAAGAGGCCAGGGCGCGGGGTGAGGCAGAGCGGGGCCCACGCTGCACCCCTGTCCCGTCAGCGTCTCCTCCCCGGCTGCAGCACCCCGTGTCCCGGCTCCAGAACCCCCACCCCGGCTGCAGCACCCCGTGTCCCGGCTCCAGAACCCCCACCCCGGCTGCAGCACCCCGTGTCCCGGCTCCACAACCCCCACCCCCGCCGCACCCGGCCCC